ACCAACCTCAATACACCAAACAAGATACATGAGTGATATATAAAAACAAAGAACAATAGAAAAACTATCAAAATCCTAAAGACTCTTGAATAAAAGCTTCCCCTTATTTTTCACTAGCTACATTAGGTTTAGGTTATTTTTCCTTTTAAACTCCTCAGCTATCCATGGACTTCGGAATCTCCACTCAATTTGTTGTAGATCCATAAACTGATGGATGCATAAATTATGTAGAATAATCTCCTTGAATTATGGAACAAAAACATCCCAAGTTTCCTAAATTGTCTCAACATCCAATTTTAGAAACTAATTCATTGTTAGAGATAAAATCACGTGTTCCAAAAATATCCTTCTTGGCCTGCGCAAATATATGAGATATATCCATAGAGAATCTCAGAGAATTAAATCAGATCCTTCCAAGAAGAGCAACAATGCATGCTATATCAATTGGTCAAGATGTCATGACATCTGGCTGTGATATATTGTTTTACCAAAATTGTTGCCAATCATAAAATCACAGACCTAACGCCTGGTTCTAAAAAAGCTGAAGAAAAATAATCTTATTAGCAATCTCAATAACCATATCAGCATAGTATTCAGCCTCTATAGGTTTGTTTAAAAACGGTTATGCGTATTTCATACAATCATCCTCAAACAACAAACTCATAGCCTTAATAACCAATACAACTAAATTTTGACTTTGAGGTGTAGGAGCAGATCCAGAACCAGATACAAAAGAAATGTTACCTAGAAGAGTGATTTTTACATGAGGAGGCTTTGGAGATTCTTTGTGCACTCTCATTTTGGTACACTTGCATTTGGGTATCTTAGGAGGATTTGAAGATGACAAGACTTTCCTTTTTCCCTTTTGCTTATAGTTTTTTTCTCTTGATCCATAATTATGAATGTTGAAGTTTTAGAGATAGAGGTATAGGTTAAATGAGATGAGATGAGACGAATATAAGAGAAAAAATGGGTTGATTTTGATTATGAGTTTCTGAGAGGAAAAGAAATAAATTTGAATTGAAATGGGAATGAGTGATTTGATGCAAGAGAAGAGTAAATTCATGTGGCTTAATGAGTGAAAATGTGTTTTAATGATTTGAAATGAAGAGTCGCAAAATTTTGTAAAATGTAGAATTTTAAGAGTTTTATTCAATTCAAATGTATTGTGATTCAAATCAAAAGGAAACAATTGGGGTTTGATTCGAATCAGACTGGTTGTGATTTGAATCAAAGACACTGTTTCCCTTTAAAGCATCTTCTGATTCAAATAAAAGGAAGGTGTGATTCAAATCAAACTAGCAAAGGCCAAATGAGGGGAAACTTTGTGACATTTGATTAGAGTCACAGACTTGGTGATTCGAATCATGGACCAAAAAATTGAAGTTTTTGAAATTTTAAAAGATTTTTAATGCGTGATAAAATATTTTTAAACAAAAAGTAATTCATTTTTTAATGTACATGATAAAATATAATTCCAATAGAGAAAAACTTAATGATATAGATGAAATCTATGCACAGATGAATAAAGATATTCAAATGCATGATATGCTCAAATGAATGATATATGCCATGTACACATAACACATAAACATACTTCGAATAAACATCATAACTAACACATATGATTCACATAAGATTAAGTATACTACAAAGAAGATAAAGAAGATTGGAATGATAATACCAATTTGAAGATTTAAGCTTTAACTTGCTACACATTAAACGATCAGTAAACGAAAACAATAATAATAAAAGCATAATACGATCAAACTAAATAATTGGATATGATTCCCTTTTCATGTCTAGAAAGCATTTTTAGACACTAAATTAATTGAAACAGAAGATGTTTTGAATATCTGTGATTATCCTACTATTAAGCAAATGATTAGTTACTTTATTGCTTTGAACTTATGTCATTTCAATCTTAGATAACTTATTCAACACTTTGACAATGATATGGATCTTTCAAAACTTGATGCTTGGAATTCTTAGATACTTGTTGAACCATCAGTGAACATGCCATTCTTTACAAAACTATCTTCATCTTCTCTTACTAGGAGATGGTTCTTCTTCCTTTTCACAATACATTCATACACGATACAACGAATTTGTTAGTTTTACGACTGATCTTAATGTTGAAATAAAACTTTAAGCTATACTGCTAGATATTCTGTTACCTGCATACAGTTCAAAACTTTGTTAGCTCAATTATGGATTGATTTAGTTAAAATAGAATTCTAACGCATAGCTAAAGCCTTATTAACATACTAGAAATGGATTATTTCAAATATCTCTAGGTCATTCAAACAATGACGTCAATTATACAATCATATGATTATGGAACACTTTGGATCCACTATTTTTTTAAACAACACACTTCACATTATTTTACTCACATCCTCAACTTTTGGAGTAGCTTAGACTTGATAAAAAACCTTGCTTTAAGGCTAATTGTTGGGCAAGAATATGGGGATGCAACAATCTAGAGGGGTGAATAGATTGGTCCCTTATACCATTTTCAAAAACATATTTTTTTACAAAGTCAGAGTTTAAAGCACGGAAGCAAAAATTATAATCAAAAGCAAAATAGATATGATGGATTCAAGAATTAAATATTTCATCGTCTTCCTAATATGAATGATTTAATCAAAATTGAATAGATGGAGAGAGACGAAGTTTCCTTGACAAGAAATTTATCTAAGTCATAGAGATAATACAATCTTAATCTGAGTATAGAATGTTCAATGAACTAGATGCATCACATTCCTAAACTTAGATGATAAAACACTAAAAGAAAGATCTAATCTTAGATTACATTATAAAGATGAACAAAAACTAGTACTTATGATATAATGCAGGAAATTAAGAGATAAGGAAGGAAAATGTACATCAGATATATAATAGTTTAAAAATTTGTCCTAATTATACCTACTCCACTCTTAAACGGTTTTACCATTAGAAATAGTAATATCTCCACTATTTCAAAGATAATGATACAAGTGCTTTGGTACAACATATTATCATAAAACTGAACACTAAAAGTCCAATGCTAAAGCCAACAATAATCTAACACGACATTCTCTTCTAATGAAGCAAATTACTCAACTACCAATACTCAAGATCTCCAATGATCTTGATGCAACAAACTTGTTAGACACAATAATCACGCTCCAAGCTTCAATTCTGCAACAACCTTTACTCGGATATGACAAAGTCTTGTTTGAGCGATTGTTCTAACCAAGAATGATAGGACAACTCCCATTCTATTTTGCAGCATCCTTTACTCTGTTCCACCAAAGTCTTCATCGGAGTACAGAAAAAATATTCTCTTGCTTGATAAGCACCACCAAATATCTTAGACAAGAAACAATTATTTCTCCTGATACACACAACAAAACTTCACAAAAAATAACACATCTACAAACTCTCACAACATCAATATTTTAGAAATTTTTTCATAAGGTTGAATCAAAGAGATAGTGTGTTTGTAAATGAAGAACCTCTCACAGCTTCTTTCAAGTTTATTGACAAAAAAGGTATTAGATTTATTGGTGAATATCCTTATCACTCTAAACTAAGCATCAATAATGATTATTTTAAATGGTCATCAATTTATATTTAGAAAAGACACACTTGGGATTAAATAGGTGCAAGAGGTTAGACATAAAAAATAAAGAAAAACACAAGATGATTTGAGTCAAATCATGATATTATGACTTGAATAAAAGAAATAGTGTTTTGAATCAAATTTAACACTCTATCAAGTTAATGGTGAATAAAAAAAGATAGATGAATTATGATCAAAATTATATCTTAAATGCACACATGATGACTTATATAAAATTAATAGTAGATTATCCTGTTCGTATTGGACATATAATCGACCCAAAATAATGATAATTACTAACAAACATATTTGTGAGTTAAAATATTAACTTTATATAAACTTTCGTAACAGTTTACATTCAATATAATTATATTAATATTTATTATAATAAATTGATTTAATAGCGATAAATTTAAATATTAACATATAAACATATAAATAATCATCTTTATCATGTATTTTATATTAATAATTATTTTAAACTCATACAATGCATTTTTTTTATTTACCAAATAAAAAAAATTTAAATAAACATATGATAATTTTTTTAGTTGATTTTCCATCTAACAACATATTAAAAATAGAAATGCACAACTCACTTTTTATTTGAATAGTAGCATGCAAGATTTTAAATCAATACATTCAAATTGATCAATTTCTACTTATTAAACTAATATTGTTCATTCTATTTTTAATTGTTGAATATAATTTGAAATAAAATATTTAGTGTATTGCATTGTAATAGAATAATATCTTATATAATGCAACGTATGCTATATAATGTAACAATGTAATAGTCACTATAAGTTGTAGCCTATATATATATATATATATATATATGGGACATGTGTACTATTACAAATGAGATTTGAATGAAGGAAAACACAAAGTATTACTCCATTTGCATTTCCATTATGGTATTAATCGCTTTTTGATCCCTTCCGCTCCAAAAACAAGAAAGCTTCAAAGAAGCTTCTATTCTTCATCAAGAAACTGTTTGAGAAGTCTCATTCATGCTTCAGAGAAGTGTCTTCTCCTCCAGTTCTCCAACTATTTACATCAAGCTTCAGAGAAGTTTTGTTCTGTTTTGTCTTCAGCCTCTCTCGTCATCACCACAACACCACTCGTCGCCATGGAATAATCTCCGAGTTCCCCCGCGATTCAAAAACCATAGTTTCCCTTTCCACTCACTCTAGCTCGTCAAGAATCAACTCGTTTAGTCTGAAATTATCCATCAAGCTCAATGATAACAACTTTCTTTTATGGAATCGGCAAGTTTAAGGTGTAATCCTCACCAACAGATTACCCAAATTTGTGGTGAGTCCTCAAATTCGCAGAAATTCAACTCTGAGCTTGATTGTCAGAATCTTGTTACCTCTAATGAGTATGAAGCATGGTTCAAGATCAGACACTCTTCATATGGCTTATATCGACTATCTCTGAATCTGTGCTTCCAAGAGTTCTTTCGTGCAAACACTCCTTTGAAGTATGGGATAAGATTCACAAGCATTTCAATGCAATGATGAAGGCCAAGGTTTTCCAACAGTGTTATGAACTCAAGACTACAAAGAAAGACAATTGCACAGTGTCGGAGTACTTTCTCAAGATCAAATTGATTGCTGACTCTTTGCTTGCTGTAGGTGATGTTATCACAGAAGAAGCTCAAATTGATGTTATCTTGGATGGTCTTCTTGAGGAATACAGTTCGTTCATGATGCAAATGCATGGTAAATCTGAATCCCCCACTCTCTATGATGTTGAAGCATTATTGTATGTGCAAGAAGGGCAATTGGATAAATTTCACCAAGAACTTGCGCTCTCCAATGTTTCTGCTAATCTTGCTATATCCCACTCTAAACAAAATGCTGCCTCCAATTGAGGAAATTCTTACAACAGAGGTCGTGGCTATGGCACTCGTTGTAGAAGCAGAGGTCGAGGAAATTCCAGATCTGGTAATAGGCCAACTTACCAACTCTGTGGCAAGTATGGACATGTTGTTCTTGACTGCTGGCACAAATTTGATGAAGCCTTCGTGCCTGATGCTTCTACTCAGCATACTACTCAAAAAGTAACCTTTGATCAAGGTGTTTCCACATCCCAAAATGACGCTCCCTCTGATGCCACAACATTAATGGCTACCCATCATTCCTTTAGAGATACTCAAGAGTTGAATGTGCCCTTAGACCTTGACTCCCACACATGGTTCACTGACTCAGGTGACTCGTATCACATTACTCCTTATTCTGATTTTTTGCATAATGGTAAACAATACACATGGTCAAGAGTTGAATGTGCCCTTAGACCTTGACTCCCACACATGGTTCACTGACTCAGGTGACTCGTATCACATTACTCCTTATTCTGATTTTTTGCATAATGGTAAACAATACACATGGTCAAACAAAGTCTCTGTAGGTAATGGTCAATTTCTAGATATTCATGCCATTAGAACCTCACAATGTCACTCCAAAATCACACCACACATCCCACTAATACTCAAAGATATATTGCTTGTGCCACAAATTACTATAAATCTTCTTTCTGTATCTCAGTTTTCTAAGGACAATCATGCTTATTTTGAGTTCTATCCTAATCACTACTACATTAAATCCTAGGCATCTAAAGTCACTTGGCTAGAATGTGTTCGTGATGCTCATGGCTTATACAGATTCTCCTCAATGATAGCAGGCAAGCTGACTTCTTCAGCTTCTGGTGTGATTGAACCTCCCTTTCTAACTGCCAATAATGCCATTCAAAGACAAGCTGGTACAGTTTCTACCTTTTCTATTTGGCACCGTAGAATTGGTCACGCTCACTCTGAGGCCATTAAGTCTATTCTACACAACTGTAATATCTCTATACCATGTAAAGATACCTTGGAATTCTGTCAATCTTGTTGTTTAGGCAAATCTCACAAATTGTTTGCACCTATGACTAACACAGTTTATCACACACCATTTAGGTAATTCATACAGATTTGTGGGGTCCCTCTCCAATGCCCTATAGTGGTGGATTTCGATATTATATTTCTTTTGTGGATACTTTCACTAGATACACATGGATTTACTTTCTGAAAAACAAGTTTGATGCTCTTAATGCCTTTATGGTTTTTCATGCACATGTTAAGACATAATTTCAAGCTAATGTGAAATCTGTTCAATGTGATTTTGGGGGAGAATTCAGGCCTTTTACTAATTATTTAGCTAAGTTAGGCATTACTCATAGGTTAACATGTCCATACACTTCTCACCACAATGGGACAGTGGAAAGAAAACACAGAAACGTTGTAGAAATGGGGTTATCCCTACTTGCACAAGCCTCTATTCTTATCTCCTTATGGGATCATAGTTTTACCACAACTGTGTATCTAATAAACATGCTTCCCACCAGATATCTTAAGACTTTATCATCTCCTTTTCATGCCTGCATAAAACCCTGCCTCACTATAAGTCTCTCAAGATTTTTGGTTGTGCATGCTTTCCCCACCTCGAGCCATATAACCAACACAAACTACAATATAGGAGCACTCAGTGTGTATTTCTAGGAGTTTCCCCTCAATAAAAGGGCTTTAAATGCATGAATTCAGAAGGGAAAATTTTTATCTCCAAGGATGTTGTCTTTGATGAATCATCCTTTCCTTTTTCCCCCATGTTTACCTCTTCCATGTCACCCGTCATAATTGAGTCTACTGCCTATGAAACTAATAACATGTACTCTCCTACTCAATCTCTTATAATTCCACACAGCTCTTTACCTTATGGGTCCAACTCTAATAGAACTGGTGGACCTGAGCCTATAACTTCTGCTTCTGAATATATGCCCGCTACCTCTGGACTTGTGACTCCCCTTTCTGCGCTTGCTGCATCTAAAGCAAGGCCATCATTCACCAATTTGTCCATTGGTTCGGGCCTCATAAATGATTCTCTATCCAACTCAGGCACAAATCCTGATATCTCTCTTTCTAACATACCTTTAGTGAGTCCACCAAATAATACTCTTCTCTCATACCCTGTGGACAATAATAGACAACGCTCATTTACTCCTATACTTGATTCTCTTGTTGATATAACCTCCACAGACCCTTTATATCTTCCCCAGAATAAACCCATTGTCACAAACACACATCCTATGGTCACAAGAGGCAAGACAGATAACCTAAAACCAAAGGTGTTTTTAGCTTATGTTGAACCATCCTCTGTTAAAGAGGCTCTTTCTCATCCAAAGTGGTTTGCAGCTATGCAAAATGAGTATAATGTTCTTCTTACTAATAACACTTGGACTCTCACATCTCTTCCTCCTCATAAAAAAGTTGTTAGGTGTAGATGGGTTTTCAGAGTAAAATAGAATGCTGATGGCAGTCTAAATAAGTTCAAAGCAAGATTGGTTGCTAAGGATTATTTACAACAACAAGGATTTGATTATAGTGAAACTTTTCCCCCTGTGGTGAAGCCAACTACCATTAGAATTCTTCTCACTTTAGCTCTTACCTACAAGTGGGAACTACAACAAATCGATATCAACAATGCATTTTTAAATGGTGACCTACAGGAGGAAGTGTTTATGCAGTAACCTCCAGGTTTCATCTCTGCTGATAAAACACTTGTATGTAAACTCAACAAAGCCTTGTATGGCTTAAAACAGGCCCCTCGCGCCTGGTATGACAAACTGGCACAAACACTTCTTCACTTTGGCTTTACACACAGCAGGTGTAATCATTCTTTGTTCATCTACTCATCTCAGGGAGTTCAGTTGTATGCTTTAGTCTATGTATAAGATATTTTAGTAACTGGATCCCCATTCACTTCAGTTCATGGTTTGATTCGGAAGCTACACAAGAAGTTTGCCCTTAAACATCTGGGCAGACCAACTTACTTCTTAGGACTTGAACTCATGTATCAATCTAATGGCTCTTTATTACTTGCTCAGTCTAAGTATGTACAAGATTTACTCTCTAAAGCTCACATGCCAAAGGCCAATGGAGTTCCAACTCCCATGTTAAGTCAGTGCAAGCTAAGTAGACATGGAACCGATGTCTTTTCTGATCCAGGTTTGTATCATTCTATTGTAGGGGCCCTCTAGTATGTTACCCTTACTAGACCCAATATTGCCTTCTCTGATAATAAAGCTTTCCAGTTTATGTCTGTCCCTCTTGAGACTCATTGGTTTGTTGTTAAACACATTCTGAGGTACCTTAGTGGCACTAGTTCCTTTGGGTTACTTCTTACTCCTTCTTCCATGGATAAGAAATGTACTCTTCAAGCTTACAGTGATTATGATTGGGTCAGTGATCCAGGTGATCGTCGTTCTACATCAGGTTCCTGTGTTTATTTGGTCCTAATTTAATGGCTTGAAGCTCGAAGAAACAACCCCTTGTGGTCCGCTCCAGTGCAGAAGCGGAATATCGTGCTCTTGCACATACCACCTCTGAGCTCATTTGAGTTGAATCCTTGCTTACTGAACTGTAGATAGCCTTTCTTCCTCCCACCCTTCTATGTGACAATGTTAGTACTGTACTTTTGTCCCATAATTCGATTCTGCACGCACGAACCAAACACATATAACTTGAAATTCATTTCGTGTTCGTGAGTGAGTTGCTGCGCAACAATTGCTGATCAAACACATTCTTGTTCATGATCAAATTGTTGATACCTTGATGAAACCACTTGAAACTACAACATTTCAGTCTCTCCGTGACAAACTCAAACTGCTGCCTTTTCACCCACCTTAAGTTTATCTTATATAATGTAATGTTACTATATAATGTAACAATGTAATAGTCATGGTAAATTATAACCTATATATATATATATATATATATATATATATATATATATATATATATATATATATATATATATATATATATATATATATATATATATATATAAAATTGTAATTGCCAGCGGAATCAGGATCGGAACATGCTAGTAATATTTCTAAATGTGGTTTTGATTTACCATGAAGGCCTGGATATCCTCTTGATTCGAGGTATCTTGTTTTGATAGTCCATCCATCATTTGGATTTATTTTTATATCCTCATCGTCAATATACATAATTTTTTCTATAACTGAATTCTCAAAATAATCAGTTACTTGTTCTTGAGGGGGGTCATTGACCGTAATTTCTTTGTAAGATATAATCTTTTTAGAAGAAGAAGAAGGTATATCTTCCTTTTTTGAGGTAGGTAATTGCTGCATATTTCTACCTTTATAGATTGTAGTCCAATCCCCTATAAGGGGAATGTTTAATTCACTTTGGGGTAACATATTATTACTCCCTCTTCCAAGGCATCGTCCATAACCGCGGCCTCTTCCTCCCCTAGATGGGGGTGTCATTCTTTCCCTGCAAAAATTCATGGGTGAGGTAATCAGCAAGTGAATTATTTTCACCTTTAATATGTTTAATATCAAATTCAAACATAGATAGTTGAGATCGCCAGCTAGCAAATATTTGTTTTGCGACAAGATTTTTAACATCTTTTTCAATAATTGATTTGGCAGAGCTGCAATCAATTTGTAATAAAAAAAATTTATTAAGTAAATCATCTTGAAATTTTGAAACACATTTTATAATAGAAAGCATTTTTTTTTATGGTCGAATATTTTGACTGAGTAGGATTCCATTTACCAGAGGTAAACCTAACCAAAACTTCTTTGGATGTTTCAGGTATAACCTGTTTTAGAATTCCTCCATATCCTAAATCTGAAGCATCAGTTTCAACGATTTTAAAATACTTGGGATTAGCCAGAGATAAGCAAGGCAAACATTTAACCTTGTTTTTAATTCTTCGGACTTCTTGAGAATGTTTATCAGTCCAAGGGCCAGGATTTTTTCTAAGCCTAGCATGTAATATACTAGTATCATTAGCAAGATTCTCA